GGGGGGGTATTTTATACACAATTTTACATTTTAAAAAAATCTAAATATAGCATAATAAAGTACTTTTAAAACCATAAAACTTTTGTCTAAAACATTTTTTCATATCTTTAATAGTTTCGATAATATTCGCTTAAAAAGACAAAAATCAACTTTGTTCAAGGGGTTGTTTCCACCCTTAAAACCGTTTTTGGGCACCAACGAAAAATTGTTTTGTTATTAGGTATATCTGCTCTACAATTATGCAGAGTTTCAGATTTTTTTGAATTTCCGCGTTGCCGAATGTCTCTTGTAAGATACGATTGTGTGTCTACAACGGCAAGTTATACTTTATTATGTATATTATTTAAAATTGATATATTTACTTTTATATCATATTAATATTAATAATAATTTACTCTTTATATCATATTAATATATTCACACTTTATATACTTAAAATTGATTGTATATATTTTTCTTCTCATTAAATTATGTACTTTCTACAGAGTTTATCTTCGATAGATTATGCAACCGAAAATTATATGACATAATATGAATGAGCTTAAATGCCACACACACACACACACACACACACACACACACACACACACACACATACACAATATAATAAGCTTAAGTAGATGTATTATGTGCTTAGTTAACGTCGTTGAAGTTTGGAGCGTTCTTGGAGCGAAAATTGAAAATAGCTTTTATTTAACAAAAAACCACTTAAAAATAAATGTAAATACATATAAAAGATAAATTTGTGTTAAATATGACATGACATTATAAGAAAGTTGTAATTCCCGAAAATTACGCACATATAATCATTCATACAGATTATAATTATTTCCGGCACTCACAGCGCTCTGTGCCAAAAACTGACAATGCTTTCTCACTCTCTGGCATGTGAGAAAAAAGAAAAAAGTTAGTTTAATAGCAATATCGTCCCGGACCACTTTCGTTCTCCACGAATATGATATGCATACCACCACACTCAGGCAGATTGTAATTATTTCCGGTAGTCACAAAGCTCGGTGCCAAAAACTGACAACGCATTTTCACTCTCTGGCATGCGGGAAAATAGAAAAAAATTAGTTTAACAGCAATATCGTCCCGGAACACTTTCGTTCTCCACAAATATGATATGCATACCCCCACACTCAGGCAGATTATAATTATTTCCGGTAGTTACAACGCTCTGTGCCAAAAACTGACAACGCATTTTCATTCTCTGGCATGTGGGAAAATAGAAAAAAATTAGTTTAACAGCAATATCGTCCCGGAACACTTTCGTTCTCCCTGAAAATGTTGTGCATACCACCACACTCAGGCAGATTATAATTATTTCCGGCACTCACAGCGCTCTGTGCCAAAAACTGACAATGCTTTCTCATTCTATGGCATGTGGGAAAATATAAAAAATTTAGTTTAACAGCAATATCGTCCCGGAACACTTTTGTTCTCCCCGAGAATTGTATGCATACCACCACACTCAGATAGATTGTAATTATTTCCGGCACTCACAGCGCTCTGTGCCAAAAACTGACAATGCTTTCTCACTCTCTGGCATGTGGGAAAAAAGAAAAAAGTTAGTTTAATAGCAATATCGTCCCGGAATACTTTCGTTCTCCCCGAAAATGGTGAGCATACCACCACATTCAGACAGATTGTAATTATTTCCGGCAGTCACAACGCTCTGTGCCAACAACTGGAAATTTATCTTCACTCTTTGGCATGTGGGATAATAGAAAAAAGTTAGTTTAACAGCAATATCGTTCCGGAACACTTTCGTTCTCCCCGAGAATTGTGTGCATACCACCACACTCAGATAGATTATAATTATTTCCGGCCGTGACAGCGCTCTGTGCCAAAAACTGACAATGCATTCTCACTCTCTGGAATGTGGGAAAGTAGAAAAAAATTAGTTTAACAGCAATATAGTCCCGGAACACTTTCGTTCTCCCCGAATATTGTGTGTATACCACCACACTCAGACAGATTGTCATTATTTCCGGCAGTCACAGTGTTCTGTGCCAAAAACTGACAATGCATTTTCATTCTCTGGCATGTGGAAAAATAGAAAAAGTCAGTTTAATAGCAATTTCGTCCCGGAACATTTTCATTCTCGTCGTATTCCGGAACAAAAGAGTTCCGGGACGCGATTGCTGTTAAACAATTTTTATTCTCTTTTCCTACATGCCAGAGAATGAAAATGCATTATCAGTTTTTGGCACAGAGTGCTATGACTGCTGAAAGTAATTATAATCTGTCTGAGTTTGATGGTACGCACACCATTTTCGGAGAGAGCGAAAGTATTCGGGGACGATATTGCTATTAAATTAATTTTTTTCTATTTTCCCTCATGCCAGAGAGTCAAAATATGTTTTCAGTTTTTGGCACAGCGCTGTGACTGCCGGAAATAATTATAATCTGTCTGAGTGTGGTGATATGCACACAATTCTCGGGGAGAACGAAAGTGTTCCGGGACGATATTGCTATTGAACTAATTTTTTTCTATTTTCCCACATGCCAGAGAGTGAAAATGCGTTGTCAGTTTTTGGCACAAAGCGCTGTGACTGCCGAAAATAATTATAATCTGTCTGAGTGTGGCGGAATGCACACAATTCTCGGGGAGAACGAAAGTGTTCGGGGACGATATTGCTATTAAATTAATTTTTTTCTATTTTCCCTCATGCCAGAGAGTCAAAATATGTTGTCAGTTTTTGGCACAGCGCTGTGACTGCCGGAAATAATTATAATCTGAGTGTGGTGGTATGCACACAATTCTCGGGGAGAACGAAAGTGTTCCGGGACGATATTACTGTTGAACTAATTTTTTTCTATTTTCCCACATGCCAGAGAGTGAAAATGCGTTGTCAGTTTTTGGCACAGAGCGCTGTGACTGCCGAAAATAATTATAATCTGTCTGAGTGTGGCGGAATGCACACAATTCTCGGGGAGAACGAAAGTGTTCCGGGACGATAATGCTGTTAAACTAATTTTTTTCTATTTTCCCACATGCCAGAGTGTGAAAATGCGTTGTCAGTTTTTGGCACAGAGCGCTGTGACTGCCGAAAATAATTATAATCTGTCTGAGTGTGGTGGTATGCACACCATTTTCGTGGAGAACGAAAGTGTTCCGGGACGATAATGCTGTTAAACTAATTTTTTTCTATTTTCCCACATGCCAGAGTGTGAAAATGCGTTGTCAGTTTTTGGCACAGAGCGCTGTGACTGCCGAAAATAATTATAATCTGTCTGAGTGTGGTGGTATGCACACCATTTTCGTGGAGAACGAAAGTGTTCCGGGACGATATTGCTGTTAAACTAATTTTTTCCTTTTTCCCACATGCCAGAGAGTGAGAAAGCATTGTCAGTTTTTGGCACAGAGCGCTGAGAGTGCCGGAACTAATTATAATCTATATGAATGATTATATGTGCGTAATTTTCGGGAATTACAACTTTCTTATAATGTCATGTCATATTTAACACATTTATCTTTTATATGTATTTACATTTATATTAAGTGGTTTTTTGTTAAATAAAAGCTATTTTCAATTTTCGCTCCAAGAACGCTCCAAACTTCAACGACGTCTTAGTTATACCGCTACTCCCAAATATCACGCTAACAAAAAGTATAAACATTTAAACAAACACAAACGTAATATTCGTATCGCTGAGTGACGACCAAGACGAGAGAATACTGAATAATATCTTGCAGTGATCTTTTCTATTCACATATATTGCGAAAGAGTATATTGAGAAAGAAACTACATTGGAGATTTACATTGAGATTTATGTAGGCAGTCTGAAAATTTCTCAGCCTAACAATGAAAGAAAACTTTTTTTGCCGTGAAATATGTTTTATTTTTCAATATAATCTCCTGAAACTTCAATACATTTATTCCAACGTTTTTCCAATAATTCATTATTGGATATTCATTATTAGATTATTAATAATACCATTATTAAAGTATGATTCCGGAAGGTCTGCAAAATATACATCCACGGCTGCAATAGCTTCGTCATTTGATGTAAAACGCTTTCCAACCAGAATTTTTCAGATTTTTTTCAGATTTGGAAACAGATAATAGTCAGAGGGAGTCAAATCTGATGAATACGCTGGATGTTCAAGCAATTCGTACTTTAATTCGTTGAATTTTGCCATTGTCAAAACACTTGTATGAACACGTGCATTGTCTTGATGGAAAACGATTCTTTTCTTCTTTAAAGCAGGTCTTTTCTCACGAGTTTTTGCATCCAATAGATCCAAAAAGTTACAATAATATTCAGAGTTAATTGTTTTACCTTCCTGAAGATAATCAATCAACAAAACACCTTTGTAATCCAAAAAACTGTTGCCATAACCTTTCCTGCTGATGGAACCGTCTTTGCCTTCTTTGGTGCCTTCCACTGGCTTCAATCCATTGTTTCGACTGCTCTTTTCGCTTTAGTGTATAGTGGTGGATCCAAGTTTTATCAACAGTTATGAAATGACGCTTGAAATCTATTTTATTTTGCTTAAAACGATACAAACACGCTTAAGAAATACGCATTCGAATGCGTTTTTGGTCAATTGTTAGCAAATGCGGCACCCATCTTGCACAAAGCTTTTTCATATGTAATTCTTCATGCAAAATATTTCCAATTCGTTCTTTTGAGATGCCTATGACCTCAGCTATTTCATGCATTTTCACTCGTCGATCATTTAACACCATATCATGGACTTGTTGAATGTTTTGTGGTGTTGTAACAGTTGTTGTAACAGTTTTTGGACGACCTCCGCGTGGATCATCTTCGAGGCTTGTACGACCAAATTTAAAAAGAGCAGCCCATTTTTTCACAGTGGAAAATAAAGGTGATGCATCCTTATATACTTTTAACAATTTCGGATGAATTTCTGTTGATGTTAAACCATTCGAAACAAAGAATTTAATCACTGCACGATATTCAATTTTTTCCACTTTAAAAAAGACAATGACATGTCAATATTAAACTGGTGCTACTACTCGAATGACCAGATCGAAATAAAATTTTACATGGGTTTATATCAGGAATGCCACTTTCCAATGCAATTATAATTTGACAGTTTCTAATACCATTTATGTGTCAGGCCAAGAAGTTTTCAGACTGCCCTCGTACATTGTCGCGCTTTCGACAAAAGAAAGACGTCTTCTGAAACTGAACTGCTTCAAAGCATCGTCCGTTTTATAAATACTTCTGTGAGAAATCATTTTTTGGATTTTAACATTCTAATGATGATTAATCAACTAATAACGTAAGCAATATGATAGAAGCCGCGGTGACAAGTGAAACTAGTCGCTCGAATAAGTCGATTATTAGCAAGAGTGACTTTTCATTCAGGCCTTGCGTCGAAAAAGTCGCCGATGTAAAAAATGAAATATGGATATCAAGATCGAAAATTGTATAGTCTAGACACGTTTCAAATAAACGTAAATCAATCAATTGTTTTAATTTTTGAAACGTCTGTCAGATCGCTGATGACGTTGTAAAATTCAAATTCTTATGACGAACAGCTCGACTTACTTATCAACCATCTCGTCGGATGTGTGCTAGTGAGCCTTGCTGTACGTGTCTTTATTTTGGTAGCCTTGAACGTATCCAGACTGATCTGATACATCCTTGCGTCCTGATATGCCCTTACCCTTTCCCGTTCCGTCGAAACGTTGTTTGTGAGAGCCGGTATACTTGCTGACATCGGTCAATCTGTCAACTGTCGACGCCGCTTTCCCAGCCTGTAAATTTTAGAAAACACGAGTGACGGATTATAGTGAAACTTATAATGATTCATATTGTGCGAGAAACATACGCAATCAAATATGGCATGCATCATATGCAGCAAACGGCAGCGGCACAATAATGCCGCAATGGAGTTTTCACGTCAAACAAACAAATTGGATTAAAATACTTCGCAGACTAATTGCATAATTAAAGATGTAATAGCATTTTTATTGTGTAATATTGGTGCAAGCATTTCATTGCGACCATTTCTCTATTAAGATTTATGCAGTCAGTCTTGAAATCTTTTGATGTCATCCGATGGCGAAAAAACTGATTTTCCAATTATCAGTTTTCAATTTTCAATACTCGTGTACATATGCACACATTCAAAACCCGTCTTTATCCCTCAGGATGCATTCGCAGCTCTCACATTCTGCGTACATATTTGAATGTGTGTGACGTGGATGTGAAATATGGATTTCCCAACAAATCTTTCGGCAAGTCCACAATTGATATCTGATGCATATGTTTGAATGTGTGCGATGTAGGTGTGCGTAATATTTTGTAAAAGAGCTATTGAAAACACACTGGTGGAAATATTTTGCTAATATGGTGAAATTACTAGGTGCGCAACTAAGTTTCCGGGTTTCACACATGGATGGCACTAACGACACATATAGTCGACATACATGTCTCAAGTTGCGTTTTTTTATAGCTTGGACATCCGTTAACAATAATCAGTCGTAATACCAACACATATCGCAACGCAAAAATATTTTTTCTAACAACGAAGATGTTGAGTTTTGTGCCAAATAAACAGCATTTGCGGGAAGCTTTGCTTTTCTGCTTTAACTTGAAAAAAATTGCAGCTGAAGCACGTCGTTTGCTTGAAGAGGCATACGGCGAACATGCACCATCGAAAACTACCTGTGAAGATTGGTTTAAACGCTTCAGAAGTGGCGATTTCGACACTGAGGACAAGGAGCGCTCCGGAAGACCAAAAACAATTGAGGACGCCGATCTGCAAGCGTTATTGGATGAAGATGATACGCAAACATAAGATCAACTTGCGGAGGCATTAAACATGACTCGCCAAGGTATTTCCAAACGTTTACATGCCATGGGAAAAATTCAAAAGGAAGGAAAATGAGTGCCGTATGAGTTGACTGAGAGACAGATGGAAAATCGAAGAGCCACTTCCGAAATTTTGCTTTTGCGGCATGAAAGAAAGAGTTTCCTGCATCGAATTGTTACTGGCAATGAGAACTGGATATATTTCGAGAATCCCAAACACAAAAAATCGTGGCTTTCACCTGGCGAAGCATCAACATCGACGGCACAGCCAAATCGCTTCGGAAAGAAGACAATGCTCTGCGTTTGGTGGGACCAGAAAGGAATCGTGTACTATGTATGAGTTGCTGAAACCGGGCGAAACTGTCAATGGGCATCGCTACCGACAACAACTGATCAATTTGAACCATGCATTGCTCGAAAAACGGCCAGAATGGGACACGAGTGATATTGCAACACGACAACGCTCTGTGCCATCGCACTTCCATCGTCCAGAACATCATCAAAACACTGAAATGGGATTTGCTACCGCACCCGCCGTATTCGCCAGACCTGGCCCCTTCCGATTATCACTTGTTCCGGTCTATGGCGCATGGCTTGGCTGGGCAACACTTGGCCAATTTCGAAGAAGTGGTTGGACGAATGGTTTCGGTCCAAAGACACGTCGTTTTATCGTCGCGGTATTCATGTATTGCCAGAGAGATGGCAAAAATGTGTAGCTAGCGAAGGACGATACTTTGAATAAACCATTTTTTGTATTTCTCTTGAAATTTTCCATTTTTCATTAATCAAAAAACCCGGAAACTTAGTTGCGCACCTAGTATATTGAAATGCCTCCCTCCTCTCTCCCCTCTCTCGAAAGTCTTTATATCAATTGACCCCATGTCAATATCACATTTCACTAAAATTTCTATAAAAACTATAAAATAAAACTCAGCCAAATTTATTATAAAACTCAGCCAAATTTATTATAAATATTAAATTTGTTCAACAATCTTTTGAAAAAATTACATAAAATTATATAAGCCTTAAAATTTTTCTGAAAGATTAAACGATAGATTAAATATAAATTTCAAATCTTTTGGGAAACTCAAAGTTTAAAGGAAAAAAGGTAGAAAATAGATCTTTAGGAGAATTATTTTTTCTACGGTTAGCACTCGAGTACGTTTAGTGCTCGAGTATTGTATAAACCTTGTGGCACCAAGACATAAAATTGACCAAGACACTGAAATTTTGTACTTACCCCGCTCACGCCAGCAGTGACTCCAGGTGGTCCGCAATTGGCCATTTTCTTTTTGATTTCTGCCAACTCCATTTTTTTACTTTTGGCCAATTCTTCAAGAAACGTTTTGTATTGCTCTAGATTGAGTTTCATTGATCTATTGTTGGAAACAAAATATCGATATATTTTCATCTAAATAAGTAAACGATATCGATTCTAGAAATAATTACACCAAACTTAAGTCAAAAGCAAGATAACTAAGATCGATTAGAATATAAATACGATGAAGAAATGTATCATAATTGTATGTTACAATGTCATAACGTTTGTACGAAGGATCGCGTATGTACTTGTGCTTCTTAAAATAAATTCCCGTATCTGTGGTGGTAATCTTCTTTCCGTCGATCACCTTCGCCTGCTTCATCCATTTGTCGCTTTGACTCAACGTAATCAGTTTGCCGTCGCTTTTTGGATCGCCGAATTTGGAAAACGCTTTGAAGCTCGTTAAAAAGCTACCTAGCTGCGTACTGCCGGGACTACTCGGCGTTGAACTTGCTGAGCTGTCTTCGATCTTCAAATTTGTTACTTCGTTCGTGATTGACACCGTCGTGACATCGTTGGCAGTCTCATTTTTGTCAATATCGGCGTCACTCTTATCCGTTTGCATCATAATTGCTGAAATATGAACAAATTTGTCAATCGCAGTCAACATAAAGAAAACTGTTATAATTGCTACAATATTTTCTATGATTAAAAGTATAATATTCAGGTGTCCAATCGAAATTTTATATTGTGGTTACCGCTTACTTTCTCCCACTCCCACAGAAGGATCAGCAAGGGGAGGGATCAGTATTAACTCGATAATGACATCAACGTCATATATCCTATATTCACTGAATCATATACGTTGTTGTCAAATCACAAGAAAAAAGAAATTGAATTAACTCGTTGATCGCTCTGCGCAGCAAGTTTTATATGCTTTATCGTCTATGACGGCTATTACGATAAAATTTTTATTATCACCGGCATAAAACGTGATACATTATCGTACATAATAATGTATCTCATTGAAGTGAGTGGTCACCAGTGACCAACATGCTCAATCAACGTGTTTACATTCCGAAACACTTGCGACGTTTCTTCGAACAGGGAGTAGTTTTAATTATACACAAGAATTTGTATTATTTCTTTTATCTGTGTGTCGGGGGGATGACGACTGAAATCGTCCGCGCCTATCGCCAACTGTTGCGTCTTCATCCGTAATATATAATTTTCTCTATAGACATGTATTCAGACAATACTAGCAACGACGCACTGTTGATCGATAGATGTGACATCGAGCGAAGATAGTCTTTGCTATAATTATAGCTATAACTATAGCGATAATCCTTGCTATAACTGTAGAAACTGTAGAACTTTGATATTTCTTGCGAAAGCCGTCGCGATAAAATCTGATACGTATGATAAATTTATTAACTTTATCTACGACTCTGTATCAACTCCCTTCCCCTTTCCTTCTTACCACCAACTTCTTCTTACCACTAACAAACACACACACATACACGCGCGCGCGCAATACTATTGTTTATTCGATATACATATCGTAAGCTTAATTAAAAAAATTAATTAGTGAAATTCACGCATGTCAGATATCGATAATATACTAGACCGAAGGCCAAATCGACAGCATATCTCTTGGTTTTGATGCGGCAGAGGCAACCGGCGGCAACGCCAAGTCTGATTGTTACTTATTTCTACAAACTGTTATTTATCATTATTTTTCTATTCCTCGCAACGATTAAATTTGTACGATCGACGCTAAAATTAAACGATTGTAAAAAGAAAAATAAACGAATGTCAAAATTGTAATTACAGATTTAAAATACGCATCGATATTCGATATATTTTAATTTTAATTTTAATTGATCAAGTAAATATCTGTGACAGATTTGTCAATTTCAATAAGGAATATCGTTTGATTTTTAGCAACAACGAGAAGTAACGAAACAAGCGAAAACGAAGAATAAATGATTATTTAAAAAGCATTGTATTATTGGAAATTTTGACATCATTTTGTCAGTACACAATTTATATTGCATTATAAACTTTTAGATATGCTCCAATATAAATTTTTTCTCGAGGTACTCGATAAATCTCTTATCGTATCCAATAGTAATTATCGGTGTGCTTTCTTCACTGCGGTATATCTCATCGATCTTCAAATGTCTGCTCAACGATAAATACGAAAAAAGTTTATACGCGTTTACGTCCTCGAAAGTACCGTCTATATTTAATACGCACGCGCGCGCGCATATTCGCGAACGTATAGGCGTACGTCAATGTGCGTTAAAAGTGTCAAAAGACACGGTGCGCAGGAAACGCCGCGGGCATAACGTTATTTCACGCCTATAAATAGAGATTACGAGCGTCGCGTGCACGCGTTAACGTAATTAGCATCATCGGCTGGCTAGGAAGTGCGATGGTCCGATCGAGTCATCAGCCATCATAATCGGATGTCAAACCGAAGGAAACGTGTCCTTTGAAGCTCACATCCTCGAATTCTGTACGTGTGACGGTTACGTTAATTTTATTTAGTCTTGTTTACATTTATACTTTCGCAAATATTATTTCAATGAACCAAGCCAAGGGAATCAACTCACCAAACTGCCAGTTAGCCGGGGGGGGCAACGACGGCGATAAGCCCTACGGAGCTTTAGCGTTTCTAGGTCACTATGCGGGGTAGGTGGGTAAGTAGGAATTAATTCTGGTGCGGTGGCTGACGTTTCGTCAATGCCAAGCTCGAGGAGGGACTGTTGACGTGTGTCGCGCGAACGTGTCGCGAGATACGACCCGATGACTCGTGTTGCGAAAGCGCGCGTGTCGATAATGCTCACTTTCACGTCACTGCGAAACGAGAAACGCACAAATCTGCGAATAAACGCTCACACGTACGTACGTGTGCAACAGCTCGCGTTATGTCGCGTTGCGTTTCGGAAGACCACTTGTGCGCGTCGCTACGCGGCCAAACGCGCATGTATTCTATCGATCTTCTTGTCCCAGGAAGTACGCAGTCATCCTCCCGTATCTTTGAAACTGCGTTTCAAAAAGACGGCTGCTTTCTGCTGCCGGGGATGGAAAGTAAAGTACATACTATAGGTGTCATCTCCCCGCTTCAACATAGCGTTCATCTTTCTCGCCAAGTATTCAACTAAACCAATTCGCTCGTATGGTCGGTTTATTTATATTACCATATCGTAAACAGAGTGTTGTATGATTTATTCGGGTCTATTTACGTCGCCGTACATGCGTGAATGTGAATGCTGTGAGAGTCAAATACGAATACGACAAACAGAAAATTTCGCAACGCCGTTTACAATCGCAACAGGATCTTGACACATACAGTACAAATATAAGAATTAAAATTTTTTCTACCAAAATCTAATCACCTTTGTCACCTTGTCTTTGCGATAACGAAGCAATATTTACCTGTTTAATTTCTCACCAACTGTCATTTATATGTAATTTATATGGCACTCACCTCCCTTATAAATGGAACGTTTATTTAAATCTCTAAATTTTTCCCAAGTCCAATGCGAATCCCGTTCATACTCGCGACTCCATCTAGAATGAGGCCAACAACGAAACTACGCCACCGCTCATCATCACGAATAGTATATCCCCCTCCCCCGCAGCTCTACGATAAGTATATATCTTCAAGTTTCAGCTTCAGAATGTGCGAAGGATATTTCAAAATTGTTACCACTTTTATTTGTGAATTATTACATAATTTGTTCGAGACAAAATTTTTTAGTTATTTTTCCGAATTTTCATAATATCCATATTTTCCGAGTTAAACACGCAAATTGAAAAAAAATATAAAAATAATAAATAAGACTTAAAAATAAAAGAACTGTATACAATCAAACAAATCCTAATATCTTTAGAAAGTTCTAAATAAATTCATATGTTTTTCTTTTGAGTCTTTACTTATGTTTATACAAGTTTCTTTCGCGCCTATATAAGTCAAGTGTAAAACTCTCCAGCTAATGGATGACGTCAGCTATTTGGAGCATCACTGTCGATTAATAGAAATATTCAGATACTATGCGTCTAGTTAGAAATTGTTGATACCATTTGGTCTGTTCTTTTCTTCTGCACCGCTGCACTGGTGCAATAAGTTAAAGTGAAACTAATATATACTTGTCTCACTCGAACTTATTGCACTAGTGCAGCAGTGCAGAGGAAAAGAACAGACCTATTATGTTTAGGGAATAAGATTACATTAAGGATTTACATTAAGGAGGCATTGCTGTAAATTCGTGAGATAAGTACATTTCTCGTTTCTTTTTCTTTTCTTTTTTTTAATTATAATACAGAAAACAGCTTCACAGGAAATTATATTTGAAATCAAGAGAATTCTTTGTTGCATACTAAAAGATAATTTTTGGATTTTACTCTCTTGGAAAAAGGATCGAAATAAAAATCGATTAAGAAACTGTGAGAGTGAGCGTTCCAATGAAAAGTGCAGCACAAGTTTATATCTTCATTTATTATGTATTATTAAGGATCTAATTACAAACTTGGTCTCTTTAGCATCTTTGCTCATCACTGACACAAGGGAGATGCCTAAAAAATATTGACTACACAAAGGCCCGTATCCCACTGCAGGTTGCGGACTTGGTTGAGGTTAACAGTAATGAATTAGCCGATCATACTGCACGTTAAACAGTCAACCTACATGTGATATTCTCTCGCAACCTTATTAAATGATTTTACAACAAACGAGTCAGAAATAGACTTGGTCTAGATTATAACTCGCAATCTAGCCGGTGAATTACTTCGCTCTGATTGATAGATTTCCAACATCCAGCCGCAACCTCAATCGCAATCAAGCCTGCAACCTAGTAATGGAATATGGTCTTAATGCAACGTCTGAAAAATGACAAATATGATAAAATGCAGATAGCACAGAAAGTATAGCCCGGTTGCGCTTTATAACCAACTTGATCCATCTTTCTTGTTCTTGCACGTCCGTATGGGCAATGCATTAAAGGCTCGTCTACATTAGCTGTAAGAATAAGGCTGTAAGGTTGCAAGACACGAAATGAAATATTTTCATTCGCTGACAGCTTACGTTACAGCCTTACAGCCTTACTCTTACAGCTAATGTAGACGAGCCTTAACAGAGAGAAGGAAATATCTGCATAAACGTCCACATGAACTACGTAGCAGAAAGAAACTTGAAAGTCGCCGCGTCGACGTTTTGGCCGACATCGACTTTTCATGGTTTGATATGCCATCTGTATACGTACCTTGAAATATCAGCTGAAACTATATCGCTACCATAGACATAATAAGAATAGACTGCGTGTGAGGGCCAAAACTTGAAGATCAAGTAGAAAGAGACGGACAATAGGTGCCGAGTATCTTTCTCTCTCACACAAGGAAAGGAATGGGGAGCGAAAAAGAGTAGTGAAACAGCTGTATGCGGTTGAAAAGAGGTGCGTAGTCGGTTCCCAGTTTATTTACTGCACGATTCAGGAGATGCTCTGCTTTATTTATTTAAAGTTAGTATCAACGTATTGTTACGCGCTTAATTTCCCTGCGATCACACGCGCATGTCGGTCATAGCTGGATTAAGGGTAGCGTGAAGGTTAGAATCACATTGGAAGATCTTCTCTAACTGCTCTGTCCGCGTTTCTCTGCAGCTTTATTTCTCTACTTTCCTTCTAATGCCTCGGACATTCGTTTCGCATTTTCATTTAAGAAAAACTGATTACTCTGTCAGTGTTGTGTCAGTGCTGGTGTGTTGCTAAAAGTTTTTGTTGACTACAGTTAATCGAATCCGTCGACGCACCATAGCATATACATATTCACGGAGAAAACAAGGAATAAAATAATTTAAAAAATAGTTACTACGTGCTGTATTTGTGGTGTGGAAGAAAACCCTCTTTATCCACGATCATTTCATAAGTAATTTAAAAAATATTTGTATTCAATATGAATGTAAACATATCGTAATTAATAATATATATACACATATATATAAGTGAAAATATATATGTAAAAAATTTACAGAATTCCAAAAAATGAAGAAATGCGAAAAAAATGGTTTCACGTTATTGGCCGTGATGTATCTTACAAAGGAGTAAAAATATGCAGTGACCACTTTACAAAAAATGACTATCATGAAATGAATGAATATAAACAAAATAAAATATTGAGAAAGACTGCAGTTCCATTAATTTTCGTGGAAGAAAATTGGTGAGAATGTTAAATTATAAATAAGAACATACATGTAATAATCTTACAGGAAGATGCAATAGATCCATTACATTGAAATATTTTATTTTGTAGTAAACATGTGGAGAAGGATACAGATACCAATTTAAGCACAGATATAAATACAAATACAGCAGAAAATAATGACATAGACAATGAAAGAAATAGGTAAAAAACACTAAAGATACACTAAGATATACACCAAAAGGGAAAATAAAGTTATCGTAATATATAAGATAAAACATTAATGTATGTGAATATTTTTTGTTTTATAGTCAAAATACGAGTAAGAATTCCATTACGGACACAGATGCAGATATACGTACACATGTAGCAGAAGATGTTAATAACATAAATATCCATAGCAACCACAGTAATAATCACAGTAGAAAAAAGTGAGATATCTAAAGATTTAAATAATTTTTCCTATCGAGTATTATTCCAACAAATTATAAATTATCAAAATTTTATTTTCAGGAAATTGTCGCAAGAGAATTTTAGAAACTCAAAAATTAAAAAAATATTTGTAAACACTTCTAAACATGCTACAAAATGCTTCCGTAAAACAGATTTTGTGTCTGATGCAAAATGGGAGCAGTTTGTAAGATATATGTCATATATTCGAAATGAAACAAAAAATATGTGGCAAAAGAAAAACCGTATGCAGAAAAAAGTTTTAACTTATAAAGATTTGCTTCAGGACCTGAAAAGTAAAAACTTTATAACAAATAATGGTATAGATGCAGTCAAAGTAAGTTGAGTTTAGCTATTTTCCATTCGCAGAAAGATTTGAAATTCACATTGTCCACAATGTTTATTCTTTTATAAAAAAGTTCATGATAACTCTCCAATCACAATGTGACTTCATCATAATATTGACTCTTATAGAAAGGTCCATGCTAATGAAGCAAATGATAGAACAATACTTGATTTCTACATCATGTTAAAAATATGATATAACAAATGTTGTGCGTATACATATACCCTCTCAATCTACAAATCTACAAATGCACTAATGATGTTATATCTTCGTTCTAAATAAGTTATTATGTATATGTCTATGCGTACAACCATTTGTCTCCTTGATTTCTTCTGTTTTTACATCTATATTTTGTACTTCCTTTTTCTTTATTTAGGATATATTGTCACCTGTTATGCAACAGTTGCTACTTACAATGTTAAATAAGAAGCGAAAAAAGTCGTTCCCCGAAAGTTTAAAAAGTTTTGCATGCACGTTACATTTTCATTCGCCTGCAGCATATTTGTATGTAAGAAAAATGTTTTTAAAAAGTTTACCTCACCCCAGTACACTGCGCATGTGGACGCAGACAATTCGTAGCAATTTCGGTATATCTGAACAATCGTTTAAAACTAAACTCGATAAGGTGCAAAATGCTAGAGAGAAAGGAAAACACTTAGTTTTCAATATAACTTTTGATGAAATGAATATTAAGAAAAAAGTTGATTGGGACGGCAAAGAATTACACGATTTTATTGAAACGGGTATTAAAGATAGTAAGTCTGATAGTCTGCCACTTGCTACCCATATCCTTCTTTTTATGTTAGTGTGCATAAATGATCATTTTAAAATCCCAATTGCATTTTATGTTATCGAGGCATTAAATGGTAAGGAAAAAGCAAATTTGTTAAATAACATTTTAAGTATTCTCCATGAAAAAGCAATTTACGTTGTTAGTATTACATTTGATGGAGCAACTTCTAATATTGCAATGTGCGAGATACTAGGCGCACAGTTAAAACACGTCAATTTTGAACATATTGTTCCGTATTTTAAGTATCCTATTGACAAATCTAAAAATATTTATATTTTTTATGATGCATGTCACATGTTGAAGCTTGTGAGGAATGCAATAGTAAAGGGGTTATTAAAGATAAAGACAAAAATGTGATAAGTTGGAACTTTCTGAAAGAATTAGTAAATGTGCAAACTGTGGAAAAATTACATGTTGCCAATAAAATGCGAAAAAGGCATACACAGTTTTTTAATGAAAAGATGAAAGTTAATCTAGCAGCACAAACATTAAGTAATTCTGTGGCTGATGCATTGACGTTTTTAGAATATGAATTAAAAGAACCAAGATTTATAGGAGCTTCAACTACTGCAACATTTTGTAAAACTTTCAATGACATATTTGATATCTTAAATTCACGTAACATATACAATAAAACTGAAAATAAACATGCAATAACAAGAAATACATTATGTACTATTAAAGATAAAGCTAAAACTTTTATGCATTACATTGCTTCCTTAACAATAAATGATGTTCCCGTATTACAAAGCATCCTCAAAACAGGTTTCATTGGATTTATAATTAATTTGCAGAACGTTATTGCATTAGCAGAAGAATTATTTAATGTAAATGCAATAAACTTTCTTCTTACTTATAAATTATCACAGGACCATATCGAAACTTTTTTTTCATTGATTAGAAGAATGCATGGTTGGAATAATAATCCTAGCGTAAAGCAATTTAAGGTGTCATATAGAAAGATATTGCATTTAGCGAATGTGTCAGTCTCATTGAATGCTAATTGCATTCCACAAGATGATACTGTATTGCTAACACTTTCACATGAATCTACGAATGATATACAGACAATTAACGAACATGTAGAACAAAACAAAGATACTATTTTAGAAGAAAGATCTTTAGAAGACGAACCTTCAGATCTTATCTTTATTGAACATAATTATGTATTACATGATAAAAAAGTTAATGAATATGCTGAAGAAATCATTGCTTACATATCAGGATATGTTGCTAAAACTATTATGAAAAGAATTAATTGTTCAGAATGCAAGCAATTACTTTCAAATAATACATATAAACAGTTGAATATAGAGCGTACCAGTAAACTTATACAGATAAAGGATCGAGGCAACCTATGTGAAGCATCAAATGATGTGATTACGATATGTAAGATAGCATATAAAATAGTACGATGTAATCAACATAGACTATTTACAAATAAAAATATTCTTGCACATCTCATATGTGAGGCTGTACGCTCCATTCCTGTGCATATATTTGACTATAATAATCATATATTCGATCAAAGTCCACTTTTTGATCACCGAAACCAAATAATTAAATTAATTTTGAAAACATTTTTTAATTTAATTTTAAAACATGAAAGTACATCATTCGCAGATTCGATACAACGAATTCGGATGAAAAATAATAAAATAACCTTGTTCAAAAATCAATAAATAAACAACAACTTATATAAAAATATATATATATTTTTTTAATAAAGATTATATTACTTTGTAATATTGATATTTTTATTACAACTTTTCCACACATATTCATGTATAAAATATTTAATCGTTTCAACATAAATGTTTACACGTAGTTTATAATAGTTGAAACACATTTATCTCTAAATTTTAAACGGTTTTATTTAACATTACACAACTTTTCTTAACCTAACATCATGTATATAACACGTTATATATTACTACGCATCACTGTGCATGCGTGAGCAGAGAAAGAAAGATACTCGGCACTTGCTTTCTGTCTCTTTCTACCTGATCTTCAGTCCTCACAAGAGTACACGCGCAGTCTATTCTTACTACGTCTATGATCGCTACACTCATTTTCTAGAGCTACCGATAAAACAGCTATTTCCCATTTAGCTAATCTTATGATCACGATATAGGCTGCGTTCCGAAATTCACTGCCTGTACTGAAAATCTATAGTATACGTGACACAATCTATGTATTTTCAGTACTGGCAGTGAATTTCGGAACGCAGCCTTAGCCGACTTTCAGATACTTCATAGCCAATGAAATTATTTGTATGGCATCTGAAGATAAATTTAAGACAGTCTTAAATGTAAGATCCGACTATGAATACTGGCCCTAAAGCCTGCGGCACATGGTGCTTGTTTTCCTGCTGGATTGCTTGCTGAATGAAAATACTGCGTTCTGATTGGTGCATTTCCATCCATTTTCGGAAGTGCACCAATCAGAATGCAGTATTTTCATCCAGCAAGCAATCCAACACGAAAACAAACACCGTGTGCCGCTGGCTTAATTTTAGTTTGTACGGTCGCGAACATAAAGGTTGTCACTTTTTTTTTTAACGACTTTCGGGACGCATCCCGACTCGAGAAAGATGAGAGCTGCTGCTCCGCCTGCGGAGCACGCCTGCGCAGTAACTCACAACGAAATGCGAGAAATGAAATATACGTGGTATGATACAAGTATGTCAACAATAATTGCGTTTAGCGGAGAAAACCGCTCAATGAGCGATTAGTGACTATTGGTCCTTACTGTTAGATCCTTACATTCAGACCAATAACGTTACAAATTATTCAACAGTTGCTCAACCGTTGAGTTTCGTGAACGCACCCAATTCTTACATTTTGAAAAATCAGCAGTGGAGGGATAGATACATAGTGCAAGTCACTCAAATGGGAATGCGTCTTTTGCAAGGTCTTAAACAGGTATGTATATTAAATTTTAAGTGAAATCGTATTTTTTTAGTCACTAATCATTCACTGAGCGGTTTTCTCCGCTGAACGCGATGATTGTTGACGTACTTATGTCATACCACATATATTTAATTTCTCGCATTTCGTTGTGAGTTACTGCGCAGGCGTGCTCCGCAGGCGGAGCAGTAGCTCTCATCTTTCTCGAGTCGGGATGCGTCCCGAAAGTCATTACAAAAAAAGTGACAACCTTTATGTCCGCGACCGTACACACATATATTCGGTACATATTTCGCTGATGAAACGCACCACTCTCTTGGTCTGTTCTTTGTAGCTGCACTGTTGAACCGGTGCAATAAGTTAAAGTGAGACAAATATAGGTTTTCTCACATTAGCTTATTGCACCAGTTCAGCAGTGCAGCTACAAAGAACAGACCATCTGATTCTCAAGTCTCTACCTGATGAAACATAACTCTCGACGTGACATAACTTTTAAACACATGTACATTCATTCAATGCAAAGTATTGTAGTGTTTACATCACATGACAAAGTACTTATATAAAGTATTAAAATATTCACGACGTACTCGCCTAGGTAAATTTCTTACACTATGGAACTTCTACAAACAAGTTCTATGGCGTATATTATGGTTATTTTTTTAAATGCTGTTATTATTTTTAAATGCTGAATCCATTTTTGAAATAGGTCCTATATATTATGTTACACTCTCTGCGTGTATATATATAAATGAATAAATATTATTTGTGTGCATGTGTGTATACACAGTGTATATATATGTTTTTGTTTTAGCTTTAATTCATACGAAAAGTATGGAGGATCAACAATGTGCCAAGAAAGTCAAACTTGACGAAACTCCTGTTATAAGTGAAGGAAAAGCACTAATATTAATCACAACCCGGAATGTATTTTACAATCCAGTTCAAGAATTCAATCGAGATCTTAGTATAGCTGTATTAACGATATTTGCAAAAGACAGATGGAATGAGGCATTACAGAAGAATAAATCAGAAAGAGAAAGAAACAATGAAACTAATACATTATACAATGTAAAAATAAATATGGAGAGACAGAAAGGTATCACTATATTAGAAGCTCTATCCGCAACTGGTTTGCGGAGTATACGATATGCCAAGGAGATAGAGAATATTCAACAGATTGTAGCTAATGACATTTCTGCAAAGGCAGTAGAAACTATCAGACAAAACGTTTTACATAACAAAGTTGAAAATTTGGTAACACCTTCTCACGAGGATGCCATGTTATTGATGTATCAACACAAACGAGATCGTTTCGACGCGGTCGACCTCGATCCGTATGGTTGTCCTTCTATATACCTGGATGGAGCAGTACAGTGTGTATCCGATGGTGGTATATTGTTGATAACAGCTACTGACTTGGCTGTATTAGCTGGCAATGTTCCAGAAACTTGTTATTACAAGTATGGAGCAATATCCATAAAATCGAAATCTTGTCATGAAATAGCATTAAGGATATTGCTGCAATGCATTGCGTCTTATGCAGGACGCTACGGACGATATATAGTACCATTATTATCTGTAAGCGTTGATTTTTATATAAGAGTATTTGTCAAGATCTTCACGAGCCATGATAAATGCAAGGAAAACTCTACCAAGATAGGAATGTTTTATCAGTGTACAGGATGTGAGAGTATTAAGTTTCAAAGCTTAGTAACAAAGAAGCCTTCCAGTAATTACAAATTACCGTGTGCACCTGTAGTGGACCAACTGTGTGAACATTGTCATCACTGGCAGCACATGGGAGGTCCGATATGGTTAGGTCCTTTGCACGATCAAGCATTTGTATCGCGAATATTATGCAATCTCGATAGTACGGAGCTGACTACATTGAAAAGAATTGAAGGTGTTTTGACCATGATACATGAGGAACTGGATGTTCCTTTGTATTACAGTCTAGATCGCTTGATGTCTATAGTTAAATGCCATGTTCCACCAATGTTGTTGTTCAGATCAGCGTTATTAAACGCAGGATATAAAGTGTCATATTCACATGCAAGTAAAGTCTCGATCAAGACAGATGCACCGAACAACGTAATATGGGATATCGTACGTGCTTGGGAAAAGAAGCATCCCGTGAAAAGAGAGAAGCTAGTTGCAAATAGCCCGGCCGAACGAATACTCAACGAACCATCTACAATGGACATTTCACTCGATATACATCCTCTCGCGAATCCAATTTCCCGGCAAAAACATCTGTCTCGCTTCCAACGAAATCCTACTGTAAATTGGGGACCTGGTGCTCGTGCCAAAATTAGAGTGGATCTCGAAAATAAAATGGAAGATTCGAAGAAAATAAGAAATCAAAACAAAAATAGTAAAAATAAATCTGCTGCATCCAAGCAGCAAGTGGCATTGAATGACTGAAGTGACTGAATACTGAACTTGAACGACAATCAGTTCAGCAAATTTTCTAGGATTTGTATATTCATGTATAGCAATATATGATACAAGACAAATAGGATTGTTAATATTAGAATTATTAATATTTGGACAGCAATCGTACATTACACCACACATGTCAAATGTAGAAAAAAAATTACTATATTAAGCGCAGAAATTTGTAAAAAGTAGGTTAACTCTACATTGATATATTCAGTAAATGCACGTCACTTGCGTACATATATACCGTCTCATTAAATTGTAAATGACTGGTGCAAATATAAAATGTATCTCTATTATCTACAATAAGATGTCTTATACATTTTCTAATGTTGCTTATGCACACTTTTTAAGGAAAAATGCAGGAAAATATTTTTATAAAATTCTTCCGCGAAGATTTGCGAAATAAACAAAGGCATCTTTCATTTTTTCCGCCTACCACGACTGTTTGCACACAGGACGCGGCATGTTTGTCGCATGGCAGAAGCTGGCTAAAGCAATAATCTCACTAGCGATTACCGATTGAATTGCAATTGCGATTGGCGATTTACTTCCCAACCAAGACAATCAGGGCAACACAAGCGTCGATTGAGAGATTGATGATTGTCGTTTAGACAATATTCTATTTTAATTGCCAATCGCAATCGTAATCCAATCGGCAATCACTAGTGTGATTACGGCTTTAAAAATACTTCGGTAGTCCTCATTCGGCTTCTTAAGCCAGCGGCACACGGTGCTTGTTTTCGTGCTGGATTGCTTGCTGGATGAAAATACTGCGTTCTGATTAGTGCATTTCCATCCATCTTCAGAAATGTACCAATCAGAATGCAGTATTTTCATCCAACAAGCAATCCAGCTCGAAAACAAGCACCGTGTGTCGCTGGCTTTAGTTAAACACCATGTGCCGGTGCTGTTATGGAGGATTCACATTACGTCCGATGTCCAACGTACGACGTACGACGTTCGATATCCAATAGGAGGACAGCTTTCTAATGGAGAATTTAATTCTCCATTAGAAAGCTGTCCTCCTATTGGATATCGAACGTCGTACGTCGGACATCGGATGTAGTGTGAATCCTCCATAAGAAAACAAGCACCATGAGAAAACAAGCACCATGTACGGTCGCGAGCATAAAGGTCTGTGATCTTTTTTTTGCAACTTTCGGAACGCATCCCGACTCGAGAAGAATGAGAATCACTGCTCCGCCTGTGGAACACGTCTGCGCAGTAACTCACGACGAAAGGCGAGAAATGAAATATACGCGATGGGACATATAATAATACAGACTCAGATGAAATGAATACTCCAGCATTAAATGGAAATGAGGGAACACAGAACAGACAAGAATCATCCGATGTAAGTCTTATACTCCGGGGGACATCCGAAAACGGTAGAGATAAATAAACATGTTTATGTTTTTAAAACAATACGAACTTAATCAAGAGAATTAACCCATACAGCACAGAAAGATTGCAGCAACATTGCAGTAATTTTGTTTTGCAACATTGTATCATTGCAACATCATTGCAAAATGTTGCTGCAATGGTGCAGCAATATTGCAGCAACATTAAAATGTCCGCTTGCAGTAATATTGCGTTGCAATGATGCAGCAATATTGCATTATAATAGCGCAGCAATATCCCAGTAAGCAAAATGCTAGCAGAATGCGCGCAGATTGACGCCAATTTCGATCAGATCTCCACATCAAAACCATAACCATCTGTGTCCTCATTAGGCTCGTGTTTTGTCGACAGGACCTGTGTGACAGGCCGTGCGAGCAGATTGTCGGCAGAAACCGCGCAGGTCCTGCTGCCAAACTACGTGTAGAATCTGCGCGCTGAGTTTGCTCGGTTTCTGCCGCTAATCTGCCGTCAAATTACTGCAAGTCTTGCGCGGTTTTTGCTACAAATCTGCTGTCAAATATCCGATAGCAGGATCTGGCGCATATTTGACCGCAGATTGGCGGTATAATTTGATATAACAGATACTGCGTTAAATTTGTTGCCTATTTGTCATCAAACTATGATAGCAGGCTTTGTTCGAAATCTGCTCGCGCAGGTTTGGCTATCTGGGATTGTACTGCAATACTGCAGCAATATTATACTGCAATAATACAGCAACATTCTGTTATAATATTGCAATAACAATGTTATATAATATATATGCAATAAAGTTACAGCTATTATGCCTATATATATACATGTGCGTGCGTGCGTGCGTGCGTATAAAGTGGCGTAATATTATATAGCTCTAACAATAGCTCTAATATATGCAACTAAACCATTCTAAAACACATGTATTCAACATTTTGTAATTATACAATTCCATATAACATAATTATGTGTTAATCTTTTTTCCACAGATACCAGCAGATGGCAAAATTGTCAGTATAACATTATTGTGATATTAAAATTCCGCTTTTTATTACATCTAAAACGAAATATAACAATTACGTCAATGTTATATTTTGTTATAAAAATGTAATAAAAAGCGGATATTTGAATATTGTCATAATATACTGAAGTATTTTTGTCATTTGATATCCACAAGATATCTGAGATATCTAGATATCACAATACATCTAGAGATTAGCAAACAGCTGTATTACGTAGGATATCATAATTGCAAGTTATTAGTTAGACTCACATACTTTTTTTTTTTTGATAACGCAGGGGAAACCCATCATGGGTACCCTCCACCCCCTGGGAGGGGCGGAGGGTTATGTGAGACTCTTATTCACTAAACCCCTGCGGGGTGTCTACCAATCGGACCGAGATGGGGGGAGTCAGGGGAACTGCGCCAACATTCCCTCCCCGACAAGACTCACATACTATAGTATAGATATTGTGTTAAACAGCAATCGCAGTAGTATTGTAACTATTAATAAGTCAAAATTGTAACACATATATATATATATTTATTTATAATAGTATGTTGCAACAATTAATATTAAATACAAATTTGCTTCTTTAATTAATATACTAAATGGTGCACATACATAATGGTATTCGTAACAAAATATAAACTATGTATATAAAACATTAATAAAGTGTTTTATCTACTTTGATAGTAAAAAATAAACGAAAAACATCAAAGAACTATCAAAAATTATGAACACATATATATAAAAGGAACACATAAATGAAAAATATTATATTAATACTATTAATAAAACTATTAATAAAAATACTATATTAAATGATAATATCATTATTAATCATGAGCCACCGTTTCTCCAATTTTTTGCCTTGAAATCCGTACAGCTTGTGCAAGTCATTTCGATACATATTCCGCACAGTCGTCTGTCATTGCGCTGTGGGATATACGAACAGCTTCTGAAATATATATCATTACCATATTATTATTATTTTTATAAAATTTAAATAATAATTAAATAGCAACTTGAATCTAAATAATACCGTTATTTGCAATATTGATCAAAATCATATTGCTTTACGGAGTAGAATAACACTTTTTTCTTTAAAATTCGTTCATTTTGTGTAAAAGCGAATCGAAATAGCTTATAGTCTAATCAATTTTCAAAGTGAAATCCGGGAAACCAAATAAATACCCAAGAGATATATAGTCTTATCTGTATGCATTGCTTACAACATCTGTTGTAGGGTGTAGTCTACGTATATACTTATATAGGTCGACAAAATACAATTTCTGAGTACGGTGGTTCCAATGAGGTCTTTCAGAAAGGTTATAAGGCTCCGTCAGTTTCTCAACACACACATTTGTGTCATCTGCAACTTGACTAAATAAAATATAAAGGGACGAATTGTAACCCAGTTAGCCAAGTGTGCCAAAAGCACGTTTTACAAATTGAATTCTGCACAATAAGACAGCAAGATGCTGGTAAAATTTCTTCAGATTTTGTTATTTTAAAATATATTAGCAGAAATATAGCAAAAACTAAAAATGACATGCGACATGACGTGATAGCAAAAATGCAACAAAATTTGAATAGAGATATCCAGTATAAAAAAGGCAAAACGAAATTACAGTATGTTAGCAAAATATATCGATAGAAACTAAGCAGATATTAAATATAATTTGCAATAATATTTGTTTAGGATTCGATTATAATTTGAACGGGGAGTCGTTCGGTTTAATTCGACAAAACCTGGAACGACCTGCCTGTGTCTCGTGTAATGAGTTCTGTTATTATACTTGAACTGTTCTATCATAAATTCGTGCCATTAGGTCATTGGCGGTCGTCTCCCCACTCGATAAAGAAAAACGAAGATATATTTCACACGCTGCGCGGAACGCTCTCGATCTCTTTCGATCGTTATCCGTATTTCGTTGGTTACGTTTTGGAGTCCGTCTCTTGCCTGTGTTCTCTTCGCCGCTTATGGAAAAGATCTATAGGCTTCCGATATACATCTCGATGTCGATCTTGGCGGACTATTCCCGGGCTCATCCAGTGGGCACTGACCTCGTCTAAACTCTTTCTGGAGGCTTGCTAATCAGGAACGAATGTCTTAGAGTTGCGTACGCTCGTAACCACCATCGGAGGCCTGGTCACCCATCTGCCTGCGGAGATCCACGTCCCCGACTACGGAAAGTAACGTAATACTTAATTTCATCGATCTTGGATAACCATACTGTAAGGCGAGACTTCCCTGGCCGTACGTCTAGCCGGGCAATTGCATCGCGTGCAATTCGAACGATTCGCATCTGTTAAGAGTTCATTATTGTTATATTTGCGTCCGTTTTGAAGACTCAGAACCGTTGAGTAGCGATTCGAACATTATGTTTGTTTAATATATATCTGTATTTAGGATATTTCTTTTGCTACTCGACTTCCTTTCCCGGCTCCATTCGATCATATCATCTCAGCGATATAAGCGCGGTTCTCCTTCCGGTGACAAAGAAACGACAACACTCTAGTTCGGTCTGTTGTCTAATTCCTAGATCGACTTTCTGACTCTCTCTGAGTCATACCGGCATCTCGCGTTTACCTGACGATCATTCGGTCGCTCGTAAACAATATTGAAATAGCAAAAAGTCGTTAGATATAGAGCTGATCTGTGATCAAATTACAATGACAAAAGCGCAGTAAAACTCGAGCACGTCGTGCCGTCACGATGTGAAAGCAGAAAGGAGGCAAAACCGAGCATATCGCGCAGTTTCAACATGTCAGGAAAAACGGGACAAAACTAGAGCATACTATCCCGTCATGACGTGACAACAAAATTGCGATAGAAATATATTAATGCATGCCACGTTTTCTGTAATGATATGGTAGGGTTATTAACCGTGTTTTCTTAAATATTGAATAAAGAAAATAAACATGAAAAGTAGTACAATTTAATGTCATTAATTTTAACGTTTATTTTCTTTATTCA